GCATTTTCACCTGGATGTACGCTCGTAATCCGCCAAGTGGAAAAAGGCCACCGTAAAATTCATCGGAAAAATTCTCGTGCTTGTCGCGTCGGGCAAAAAATTTCAAGTAAGTTCGCTCAAAATTGCTCATATCATCTCCCGCAGCTCGGATATCTATTATCATTTCAATTCATTGTACACCTCATATTACGCGATATAATTGAATTTACTTTGCCCGATTTTATCCACTAATTTATCAAATAAACGTTTAATATTACAAGCTCCAGACAGTTGAAATTTAACTACCAATTATTCATCGCGTTAATACGGCGGCAGTTACTAATAACACTATTTAAAGATTTTGATCTCTTTTTTTTAACTCTACGATCAGTAATCAATTTTTATATTTAAGATATCTTATGTATAGTCTTAAGATATCATAAACAAATCACAGGCCGGTATTCATAGTCAGTTCTTATATTCAAGACCGTCTTAAGTTCTGTTTTGAGGTGTCACGAACCAATCAGAGGATCGCATTAACGTCTTAAGACATTACTTAAGACGATCTTGAAATAAGAACCGATTATGAATACCGGCTACAGAGCCATATTAGTATCTCAGATAAGGATGTATTACACATATTTAAATCAAACAAAAAAATTATGAAAAATTATAGATTTTTTATATTGTTTTAAAAGTAATACAAAAAAATTTTTTTCGATAATTTAGGATCTGGGTCAGAAATTATTTCAACAGGAAGTAACTTTGTTTTTTAAAAATGATTAAGATAAAAAGAGAAAATTGACATTTAAATTAAAAATTTACATATTTAGTATAGTTTGAAACTATGAAATATATTTGAACTATTTCAATACTGAATGCATATAACAATCATTTTTGTACAGAAAGTATAAATTTCCAATCTCAGTAATTTTTTACAGACTACCTGATACATTCTTAAGATAGTCTTGAAATAAAAACGGACTGCCTTTGTTAAACATTTATTTATCATTCATGTACAGCTTTCGATAGTTATAGCTACGCACTTATGGTAAGAGCCCGTCTACTTCAGTTCAATAAAACAGTTCGAGACTATGTATCTCTCCTAACTCATTGTCAAGCCGTCAATAATTTCAAGCGAATTGTTATTTGCGAATTGTTAGAGCTCGAACTGTCAATCTTGCTGACGTCGTGACGCGCACGCGTCATTAAAGGCGTCAGCCCGCGTGTTCACGCGAACACGCGGCGCACGCTATATGCAAACGACTGCCGCCGTCACCGGTGATTTTCTAGTCACGGTCAAGAGACGCAAATACTTGAAACCATGACGTTCGTCTCGTCAATTTAATGATTTTACATAAAGCGTGACGAGATAGAACAAGGAAGAAAGAAAGTTAAATAGCAAATTACTCTCAATTCTTTTGTCCATAGGCAAATTTGTCATTATTATCATCATACCATTATCTGATGTCTTATGCAAATATCTTTAATATTTGGCTCGTATTTCCAGTAGACCACTTTTTATGGACTTATAAACGAAAAGAATAGTCGAATTATCGAAATATCAAAAAATTTAGAGACAGATTTAAAAATAATTTTCTTAAATTATCAAAACAATTTTGGAATACAGTCATAATTATTTTAATAACTCACGAAAATTATTTTTAGATCTGTATTTAACTAAATTTTTAGATACCTCAATAAAACTTCTTTCTGTGTCACGTAAATTATTAAGTTTATAGAACACTATAAATTTTCAGCGCAGGCAGTGAATTTTGGAACATAGTCATAATTATTTTGATGATCCAAGAAAATTACTTTTAAATTTTGACAGCCTAAGTAGAACGTTTATGGTTAAGCATTGTTGATGACAATGCTACAAAAGTTCGAACATTCTAATAACTAGGTTGAACGTCCTAATAATTATTTCCCAACAAAATTATTTTCAGATCTATCTAGCTAAATTTTTAGATACTTCAACAAAATCATTCTTTTATGTAGGATACTATATATACATCTTAAGCAAAGAAATAGCTACATATGTATGTACATACGCTTTCAACAATTTCATTCCCAGGTTAAAATCTTTTTAAGACGGCCGGAAGTTAAACGCGTGATCGTCATCGGACCGATTGAACCGAGAAACGACGATCGTCTTCAGATGGTCGATTTTACGCGATAGCCAATACTAGAGACGGACTAGATTTCCGGAGGCGACCAATATAACGTGCAAGTTCTGTGCTTTCTATCGCCCAGAATCACGCTCGCGCAGCTTACTGACGATGATTGGTTCGAATCCAACAATACCCAACAGTTTACGCATATACGAATAGGAATCAAATCGTACTACTGAGATTTTGCTCCTGTTGTTCGTTTCTCACAGTCGCTGCATCAGCTGTATGTGGAAAACGAGATGCAAGGTCTGTTACAAAATGCATTTCAAAAAGAAAAAGCAAGATGTAACTCTTTTACTTCAAAGATAGTATACAATTCCAAAAAACATGATTTTTTTAGTTATAACGAAACGAAAATGTCAAAAATGACATTTGATCATGTTAAAAATATTTTTTTGCCGATATTATTTGATTAATCAATAATTATCTGTTTGTTTGAAAAAATTAATTTAATTTAATTAATAACTTAATTCTTTCTAAATTATATTTTTTATTTTTTATTCTATCACTCTACATATACATATACATATATACGCTCTTTAAATACCTTCTTAAATTGTTTCAACTTTGTTAGTTGTTTTATTCGGATATTTATATAATTTTATCTTCCTTTATTTACGCAATTGTTACTTTCTGTTAATAAATGTTTCCGTATTTTTCACTGTTTACAATTGCAATGAAATTTTGCTTTAGCTACTCTCTCGACGCACACATATAACGAGCGTTCATGCCATTAATCACGATGCTCGATGCATACAGTTATGCATTTTTATCTCAAATATTTGTGATACCGCGCATAACGTCATGATTAATTAATTACATGGAGTTCAAACAATGGCGGAGGTAACAGGCGTATCTTACGCGCGCTGAGCGAAGCGTTTATATTATAACCAACGCACCGATATATTTCTGCATTTTTGTTACATGTCCTAGTCAAAAAGCGCCTCTCTTTTCCGAGTATTCGGAATTAGCTTTTCCGCGCAAAAGCTGCAGTATACCACGCACCGGATTATATTAATTAATATAAACACGGCCAAACATAAACACTACTACGCTGTACAAACAAAATCCTTTCAGGTGTAAAAAATGTTATACGATAAAACATACACTCTCGATGTCCCAAAATCATCAAAACATCATTTCTATCGCGATATTTGTTTCATAAAGATTTCTTGTCGCGATATCTTTTAATATTAAACAGTTTCGACGAGGAAATTTCGTCCTATTAAAATTTTGCTAAGTGAAAATTATATCCCCGAGTAAATTAAAAAAAATCGCAATTAAAAGATATACGAGTAGACATTCTGTGGAGATACGTGGAAATGTGCAAACAGCATACCGCACGTTTTTCTACTCGGCAGAGGGATTCTAAAACGATGGTAAAAAGGGAACAGAGTCTCGAATGGTATGAATACGAGTGTATAGTACGTTAAAACCGCTAAAAAAAGAGAATCATTATTCGGCCAGTATTTCAATTTATCCAGAATTTATACGAAACTGATACCATCTCCTGGCCCTTGCTGGCATAATTTTTCGTCGCACCGATCTTCCGTTTTTTTTTGTCACCGATTCATTGAAACGGCGAAAATATCAGCCTTTTTTCGTTATAGTTGGTACAACGAGAGAGTTCCGTTAGCACACGTTAACAACCTCAACCTGGACTCGCTTTTTCTTCTCTCTCTTTCTCTCTCTGTTTCTTTCTCTTTCTCTTTTTCACCCTTTGGGAAAATAACCGTCCACCTCGCCATCCCTCTCTTTCACCCCGTCATACTATACTGCCCGTCTCTCTTCGTCGTCCCCCGATTTCAGCACATAGATTATGGCCATCGGCACGCGCGTATGGCGTGCGCCCATAAAAACCGGCCATGTATAAAACCGTCGTGTTACCGCGTGCTCGACGAGCGAGCATTTTCGTCGGACCCCCTTCCGCCACCTCTCGTTGTTCTTTTTCTGCAAGGTCCGTCCGTGTCGCCCGTCAACGCCGCGCAGAGAAAGGCACGCCGGAGAACAAGAAATGTAAAGAATGACGGGTTAGCTCTTACTTACGTTGCCGGAGCTGGACGCACAATTTACACACGAATTTCGAGTTAATTTCAAAAGACCATGTACGTTGATAAACAACTTTTTTGATAAAGTCAAGGGATTTTTAATCAATGTAAAAAAACTTGTTTTTATCTCTCTTATCATATACATATTAATTTTTTATAAATTTTTAACATTAATTTCATCCCTCCCATATTTCTCCCACTTCAATTTTCAAAACGTCAGTAGCAATTATGATTAAGAATACGCTCGGAAATCTTCCGGAAATCTAATCCAAAAGTTTTGCAATATTCTCTCTTAACTCCCTACAGACCACGTGGGGATTTAAAGATGGTTTTTCGATTTTTAATTATTTTGCTGATTCTGCCTCAAATTCGAACATATATAAAAAAAAGTAAAAAACGTTCGAATCATATAATTGTAATAACCGTAATGTTGAACTTCTTTAGAGCACAAAAACCCTTTGAAAAACAATCATTCCTTAGCGGTCCAGGTGGTCTGACTCATAACAAGTAGTAAAATTCAGAGTAGTATGCAAAAAGTTTATCATCTAACAATAAGAAATATTCATTGACCATACAAACATGTTCAATGATTATCAGAGTAATAATGATCATCATTATCATGCCGAATACTTAACTGCCATAAATTACGAAATATTTTTGGTTATGTTTCTTTAGTTAAAGGTACGAATTACGAAATTTCTCCACAAAAAATTTCTCCCTTTCGTGCAGAGGATAGAAAATTACCTCAAAGGAATCAACTTTCGGTAATGTTATAAGGCTAACGGTAACATAGGCTTACCGTTGATGACAGCGATGATGCCGAGGACGCACAGTAGGAACGATCTCGAGCACATCTTAGCTCCTTCTCTTTCCGTCTCCCTCAACGAAAGAAAAGCGAAGAGAAACAGGCACGCGCGATCCTTACGTGGCTTTATGAAACATCGTTCGTCCTCGTCCTAGTAATACGTGGGATCCAATTTCCTCGTCTGATCAGTCAGTCTGATCAATCAATCGATAACAAGCACGAAGACGTTTCTCAGGAATGCTGCACCCGTCATCATTGCCGGATGATACCAAAAATCTCTTGAGTTAGCATCGAGATGGGGTCGGTTTCACCTTCCTTCCGACAACGACAACAACGATGACGACGACGATGACGATGATGACGTGTCAGTTAGCAGATATTCGCGATGCAAAAGCGTTGAACGACAAAGCGAATTATGACTGCGAGCTAGCTGATTACTAATTAGGGCCGATCGCATTAATCGGCTCTTAATCACCACAGCACCCGGAAATACCTCGATCGAAATCCTATCTCGCCTGTCTAACTTGCTTGCCGTAATAACCCTGAGGCTCGAGTTTCCGAGCTTTTTTCCTTTTTCTCGTCCTTCGCCTTCGATGCTTCCGCTGATGTCTCTCGTTCTTACTCTTCTTTCTTCACCTATCCCTTTTTCAACTGCTCTTTTGCTGTTCGTCCCTACTGCTTCGCCTTCGCTTTCTTTCCTTTAGCCTTGGGCTATAATACTCTCCTCGCTGCGTCTTCAGTCTACTTGTTTGTTCTAGATGACGTCAGCTCGCCGAAAACTACCTCGCAATTCCTCACGGGCTAGCTTCCTCGATCCGGGATCCTCTCAACGTAACTTAGCGAAGTAAGTTGAAGTGCCCCTTAGTGCAACTAGACCTCCTCCTATTCATCGAATATAGTTGAACTTTTATCTTTTGATCAAAGCATCCGTTCGATACGAAATAGATGCGAAGCTTCAACTTAGTTGTGTCTCCCTTTTTTCTTTATCCAATAAAAAGTTACGATTCTCGTCTGAAATTTAATGAAGTAACTCCTTCACGTCTCCGCAAAAGTAAAATTTTTCGAAGACTTGCAAAATGTATCTCGATGTGACACGAGTTAATTTACAGTAAGTTCACGATAAACAAACGTCGGCGAGACTATCACGATTCGCCAACTCGCGACTTTTCTTCGCAGAACTTTCCCCCGTACGAAGTTTTAAAACTTGAAGAATAGTGAATATCTCGTCTTGCTGGAGTAAGTTTGGGGGGTGCGAGGATTATACTTGATCTATCAACGCGTGACAACCACGAGACGCTCCCGGCCACGGCGAGCTCGCAGCGCTTACTGAGCTTGCGGAAAAGCTCCTCGAGGAGCGTCCGCGAGATGAGAGCACGTTTCTCATCCCCACTTGGTGAACCCACGATTACGTTGCGCGCCGTGCGCGCTGATTGGCCGGGCATGCGCCCGAAAGCTCGTCGAGTAACGTGCGTGCCCCCCTCCCCTTTAGTACGGTGGGAGAAAGAAAGAGGGAGAGAGAGGGAGACAGAAGAGTTGGATGAGGGAGAAAAGGGGACAACGAAAGCTCTGCGATGCTTTTAGAGTACCGACTGCCGAGTAGTGTTGAAACGCTGTTGAAACCGCCAGTAGTGGGGCGACAACGCGACGGGAAAGGAAGGAGAAAGGGAGACGCGCGCGATGCAGAAAGGACACCGGGTACATCGCGCGCTTCGCGCCACTACCCGCGCTCGCACACGCGTCGAGCTTGCGGCAAAAGTTATGACCTCAAAGGGGTCGTTAACGAGCGCCCGCCAAATTAGTATAACGGCTCACCCTCCGGTCTATCCTCTCCACCAATCCTCCCCCCCCTCTCTCTCTCTCTCTCTCTTTCCGTCCCTGTCAGCTACCCTCTTGCCCCAACCGGACTCGAAACGCAAGTACTATCCATCATCTATCTATCAACTGGCCCAAGACAAATCGTACGTGCATTGTCTATCGATTCATTACGGTTCGTCCACTTTATGATTGATTACTATGATTGTGTCTGCAATTCGTATCGCAAGATGTAACGAGTACCTTTGTTTTTATTGCGAATTTCAGAAATGACAGAATATCCTAATAACAAAATCGTTTTCTTTTATACGAACTTTTCGTGCTCTTTTAATGAAAATAACATAAACCCAAAAATATCTAGTACAATTATTCTATACACTATAATACGTCTGAATGCATTTATAGAAAATCTATATTGATAGAATTTGTAAAAAATTATAATTTAAATTAGATGTCAATGAAAAACGCAACACAATATGTTTGTCATATCTTACAAAAAATTTATCGCTATAGTAATCAATTGATTGATAATAGTATTACGCTTTCATAATTATTCAATTTTAGCTTTTATTCAAATTCAGCTTTTATTTTATTCAGAATAAAATAAGAATTGGATGAAAATTTCTAACACCTTCAAATATGTACATTAATATGATACTTAAAATTCCATTTAGTTCTTTGTACATATAATCAAATCCAATCAACGTTTTAATGAGGTACCCATCTAATGAATAACGTACATAAAATTGAGCTTTGACTATTATATTTATGTCTACTTTATTAATACAAGCTTGTAAAGAGAGTTTACATTTAGAAACTTGGAACGTAAATCTGTTATGTTGAAATAACGTGTTGTCCCTAGACTTTCAAACGTCTTTGTTTTATTTTTCGAAAACATTTGCTTTCCAAATATTTTCTATGATGTACAATACCATTTCGTATAGACAGTAACGTCAATATTTATGATTGTCATTCTAAATAATAAAAGTGACTAAATCTAGACTTGGATTTAGTAATCTTTATTATTTAGAATGATAATCACAAATATTGACAGTAATGTCTATACAAAATAGCTTACATCTTACACATTATACACATAGAAGGTATTTGAAAAGCAGACATTTTGTAAAAATAAAACAAAGATCTTTAAAATTAATTATCCAATTATTCATTTAAAATGTTTTTTATTATTTTAGTATAATATATAATAAAAAGATAATAGATAATAACAAATTGCCAAGACGTCAATCCTAACGCACAATCTAAGAACTTTTTGTGATACTTTGTGTTGGGCATGATACTTTTGCACCGCAATCTTCTCATGGAGGACGTCGTTACTCTCGAAATTACTTTCCATTACGTGAAACTTGGTAACTCCCGAAAGAAGTAAAAGTAAGAGCTTAGACGGCGAACGGGTAATCGACGCGGTCCAGCAGCCTCCGTTGGATTTCGTGAGGGACAACTTCGGAAATACCGGCGACATCGTAGACGCTAGTAGTGCAGTCAATATATAATGCGCGACGTGCTCCTGCATTTCAAATTACCGCACAGTACTACCAGCGACGAACGTATGGGCGTCGCTTCCCCGATAGTGCCGATCGCCTGCCAACAGCATTGGCGTGACACTATGAATTCGAGTAATTTCTCTTACTGTCTCTCTCTCTCTCTCTCTCTCTCTCTCTCTCTCTCTCTCTCTCCCTCTCTCTGTCTTTCTCTGCACATTGAGTTTGGATAATTACCATCCCTATTTTAGGAACAACATATTCTATAATACAATAAATTTACATTTCAAACCTCCAAATACAAACTCTCTCTCCTGGCTTATGTTAAGTATACATCTCATAAATATAATATTCAAAATTCAATAAAATTTATATACGTTATTCATCGTGTAAAGTATAACTCGAAAATTCGATTTCGGTTTCGGTTACAGTCAGTTTCGGCTAAAAATTGAAATTTCGATTAAGTTTCAGCCGAAATTGAAAGAGGATTTTGACAACATAGTTGAAACTGATCAATATTATAATAAGCATTTATTACTTAAAATTTATTTAATATGAAATATTTATTTTCCACTGATTTTTCAAAAATTTGTTTAAAAAATACTTTTATTTTATATTTTGAAATTTTGTTATTATTAAGATAATATCCATAATTGTAATATTACGAATAGTGTAAGATCCCAGTAAGCAAGAAACATTAATGTTGCTGCAATGTTACGTAATGTTTCTTGCTTGCTGAGATACTACAAATTGTGATAATAGAATTGTAATGCTAGGATGGTGATAATGTAAAATTATTGCTTCAAAAATTAAATTATGATATTTATAAAAAAATATACATATATGTGGTATATAAGTACAATATGTGCGCACATGGACCTTTCTAGGATTCCTATGCAAGTTTTGGTTTTCAGTTTCTGTTTCAGCCGAAATTGGCCTAACCAAATATTCGTTTTTGGTTTCGACCGAAATTAAAAAAGATCGTTTCGATCGAACACCATTTACTTACTGAAAGATCGCTTTTAAATCTGGTTATATGTAGATATAGAATTAAACTGACTTTAAGTATCCTATTAATGTACATATATGAATACGTGAAGGGTACTAAAGATTTCCCACCGAATTCTTATCTTATTACCTAGACAATGCAAAATCTATAATCGAGACATCTTTCAGACGTTTCTCGCAAAAATGTTTTTGAGATATTTTTAAGACGTGTTATATTCACAGACTTCTAATTATAACTTCATTACAAACAATGAGTTATTTCCCAATCTTGCCTGTATTTTATATTATTCATAGCAGTTCAATAACCAGCTTAATGTTGAAGCTCCGATTAGTACCTTCCCATGTAGTAATTGTCAATTAATTCACGTACATCGTAGTGGTCGAACTTAGACTAGAATGGGTGCCGTGCCTCTAGAGACATAAATAATTATCGGATAGCTGCGCGATAATGCGGTAGTAAACGCATGCCCTGCCAGACAAGCATTGCCAGATTTACAATGGATAATATCATAAATTGAGATGTTAATCTTTCTTGCATTAGAGTGACTTGCTAAATATTCGATAATTATTCTAGTAATTTACGACAAAAATTTAAATCTAAATCGAGTCAAGTAGAACTACTCAACAATTTGGCTAACACATTAGGCCTGTTCTTTTTGGTTAAACTTTTGCACCAATTCATCTTTCTTCCTTTTCTCTCCAGGAAGAAAGAAAAGGAAGAAAGATGAACTGGTGCAAAAGTTTAGCCAAAAAGAACAGTCCTATTTTCTAAATGTTCTTGCTGGCAATCGTACAAAATGACACATGATAAATTTTATATTATTTTCGGATTAATTAACATTATATTTTCCATAATTATATCTTTATCTAATTAATGATCTAGTAATTATATAATTATAACTATCAAATTTCGTTTTCATACATTTATATTGTTCTAAAAATCCTCTGTAGAAACGTAATTAGGCAGTGCATTAGAGCAGAGGACAAAGCCATCCTAACGAAAAAGCGTCTCTTGACTTCTGAGAGAAGAAAACGTTTACAAAGCCCACGTATGTGAATCGTACGGATTGGCGTCCGACGAATAGAAGAATTTCAACTTCAAAGGGAAAGTATTAAGTTTGTGATTTCCTACCTGCCTCTCCGCGCGACACAAAGCAGGCGACGAGTATAATGGCGAAATAGGAAGCTACTTCTCGCGACGTCCTTAGTCGTTCGACGTGTGGCTTGCAATGAAAACGCGCGACCGAGAGAAACGAGAGGTATAATTACAAGCACCCGTCCAGTTGGAGTAATCGTAACTATTCGTCGGCCGAATCCATAATTCGCGTTTCAAAGGACCGACATTTTTCCAGACGATGGTTTCAGCACACTGCGACTGATAATCGAGAACGAAGGAACGTGCTCAACAAGAAGATGAATTCCGTACAAAAAGATTTTCGCGTCTACCGTCGTCTCAAGCTTTGATCGACGTACCGTCAAAGCGACGTTTCACTGTCTCATTTCGATTCTGTTTTACTTCACCCGCATATCGATAACCCCCAGTTTTTTTTACGTTTCTTCGGTCCTTTAACGCGCGCGCACGCCACCCGAATCCTCTTTTTTTCTCTCCTACCGCTTCCTCCGGGACCAATTCTCAGTCTAGCATGGAATATACCGGAAGATGAAAGAAAGGATCCTGTCATTAACTGTCGTCGCGCCAACAAAAGGAAACGTGCACAGACGCGGAAATACGGATGCATTTTTTACTTAATCCCGTAAGAAACGTGACGGTGCCAAAAGAAACGACAAGCAATTAAAAAAGTGTCAATAGTGGGGAGTAAAATTGCAGTCGGTGGTTACACTTGGCAGGTGTAAACGCACTCTTCTATTCTTTCTTTTCCCGCATTACTTCTATCACTTGCAACATAACCAATCGAAAGAAATAATAATTAATTAGTACACGCGAAATAATAATTAATTAATTAATACACATACTCCGTATGTATAAAATCACTTAATAATTTTTGTGTAGGTACACTG